GCCCTGTATCTCCTCCTGCATCTTTGAGTCGTGCCATCCTGTAAGGCCCTGGCTTGAGTGCCACCTCTTCCCATAAAGCCTCCCTGATCCTCCCTAATCCCTGTCTCAGCGCCTTCCTGGAGCACCTTTCCACATCCCTCAGTCCTCTGTCACCACAGTTCACTTCATCCTTCAGTCCTCCAGGGCAGAACTATGCCCTGTCATCTCTCAGCCCAGTGGTACAGTGCTGGTCACCAGAGCAAGTGTTTGCTGAATTCACTTGTGACCTTTTTCCATCTCTGCCTGCCTCATTTCTCCTTTTCTCTCTAGGTCGCTTGCCAGTTAGCTCCATAGGGTCTTGCTTTCTTTGGCATACAATCTCTCGCTCTCTCTCATACTTACACTCTTATTCCCTCCCTACTTCTTGGTGAATGGCACTCACTGAAATAGTTGGCAAAAGGAACTAGTTAGAAGGACAGCCTCCTTGGGGGGGGATGTGCAGAAGATACAGGTGACCTCAGTCACAGAATGAATTGTGATTATTGGATAGTTTAATCATCTGTCTACTGTTTCTTTTCTGGAGCCAAAAAAATACACAACTTTTCTTGGGAACTGCAAGCATTGCTGGGAGAACTGTTATTTGGGTTTTCTGAATCTTGAGATTGGAGGTAGAGGACTAAAGCTAGACCCAGGTATTAATCATAGAACCTTAAGACAGCACATCTCTCCCTGACTCAGTTCCTTACAGATTAAACCAGAAATAACAGCTTGCTGGGATGTTGGGGCCTAAATGCTCCCTTCTCCACTCCTGGTTTATGGAATCAGAATGAAAAGGTGCTCCCTTATTCGGCTGGCTGTTCCTGTGTTCTGAATTAATCCTCTTCCTGAGGGGACAAAAATGGGACAGAACCTTATGAAAGAAGCACGGGTGTTGGGACCTACCTCCTGTAGCCTGGCAGCCTTGCTGTGGCAGGTTGGGCCTTTTTCTTCTGCATGTGGCCTTTCTTCAGGTGCTTGGATAAAGAGCTCAGGTGTCAACAGTGATGTTATTGGACGGCAGAACCTCAGCAGCCCTGTGTGCCAGAAGCTCATGATTGGGAGGCCTATCCAGGGCATACAGTGGGTGGTTTGTGGCCAGAGCTGAGCCTTGGTTTTGGAGTCCAGGGTTCTTCCCATGATAATGTCCAGGACACACTGGACGGTGGTAGGTGATTTAGCCACTTCCTTCTGCTCTGTCACTAGTGAACAATCTAGGTTACACCAGCCCATCACCTCCAAGGTGACTACTTCTCCAGGGAAGCTTTGTGTAGCTTGGGACTTCTATTGTTGAACCCCAAGCCATCCCAGAGCTGGGCAGGCACATGCATTCTCCTCCCGCACGATAGCTTCCTGGCTATTTGAAGACTGGGATCCTATGTCACTCTCTGTGTCGTTGGAACCTATTTTTAACACCAGCTGGTTCTGTCTCTTCATGTAGCAACAGCTCTTTGTCTTCTCTGAGCTGCAGAATTGGAGCACATGTTCCCCCCAAATTTACTGTGTCCTGGTGTGGGAGACCAAGGGGCTTCTTTTCCCTACTTTTTCCAAACCCCACTGCTCTTGTCTTGGCCTTTCTGTGGGGTGACGACTTTCTCTCCATTCCATCCTCCCAACAGGGTATCCCCATGTAGCCCTGGCTTTCCTGGAACTCAGTAATGTAGACAGGCTGGCCTCAAACTCAAAAGGATTTGCCTGTCTCTGTCTCCTGAGTGCCAGGATTAAAGGTGGGACCATGCCTATCCCATTCTCTCCAGTCTTTGCATTCTCACTGTGCATCTTCGATCGGTGATGCTGTTTGGATGGACCAGGACATACTAGAACTCTGTACAGACTCTTGGAGGCGGCTTGCTGAGAGCAGTGTGGCCTTCTGCTCTCCCCAGGGAGAATCCTTGAATCCATACCTTTTCAGGGACATCTCAGCAGGACCACACCTACCTTTGCCACGTGCATATCCCAGGCCACACCTACAGCACACCTCCTACCCACTAAAGCCCTGGGCCCTTGGCCGTGTTACTTGGCTTGAGTTTCAATCAAGGAAGGCTACACTTGGTGATTTCAACACATGTGCTGCCTATTAAACACCAAGGCCTGAGTGTTGGGGCTTAGCAAGAAGGGAGAGGGATTTACAGAACGAAGTACCATTTTCACAATCAAGAGGTTAGCTGACCTAATGGGAATCCAGGTTTATCTGAGCATTAAAATTTTATTTATTACATTTTTTTATTGTGGGGTAAGGCATGCAACACCATGTTGGGGATTTAGGTTTAGGTTTTATGTTTTGTAGAGAAAACTCACATGAGGTACTTTGTTGAGTGCCTTAATGGAGCTCTAACTCAACGTGGAAACCACAGGGAAAGTCCTGATTCCTAGCAACCCTAAAAGGCCTGGCTTCAGATGGTCAGATTTGGGCAGGTCTTTGAATAATACAAGTAGTAATCATTATTGAACACTTGCTGTATGCCTCACATTGTGCTGGCTTTTATGTAGGTTAGCAGCCCCTAGGGTAAAGGTTTAGGAGGATGGGGTGGGGGTGGATGTAGATTGGGGTCCCATTGGTTAGGTTCTATAATAGTTACTCTTCAACCCTTACCAGGCTCTTACCATTTGCCTCTCAGCACCAGTTGCTGCTTTTCTGCCATTTAAAAATTTTTCTGTTGTGAGAGCACATTCACTTCCTAATTGAAGGAGAACCACAGTCAGTTGCATGACAAACTGATGCAGGGCAGAGTTGCTTGGTCTAGATGCGGGAGGAGGCTTCATGCAGTGAAAGTCATCTCCTGGCTTCCTTGCCCCTTCGTCATGGCTGACATGGGTGCCTTTGTTTTCCTACAAAGAGAGTAATTTGAGGAAAGCCAATTACTCCACTCACTTAACCAAGTCCATAGTTACTCTGGCCATTCTATCTCAAGAACCACAGGCCTCTCACCTACCCCCAGTCCCTAGAACATTGACCCATTCCTGATTTCATGGACAAACCACACCTGAGAGTAAAGGAACCTCATAGGTGAGACAGCAATGCAGTCGTAGGTCCAGGCTTTTATTTAAACGTTTTTTTGTTGTTGTTGTTTTTTCGATTATAACAAATACCTTAACATGTAAAAAGTCAAACACTCAAACATGAATGTTTCACCACAAAAGCAGAACTACAGTTGTCAACATAAACCACTTCAAAATGTAGTCATCCAAAAGGTTAGTTAAAATACCAAAAAGAAACTACCAAATTAGCAGTGATTCCAAATCTGCTTAAGAAGCTGGTTAATTAATGATGTGTGTGAAGGATGAAGGAGCTCAATGTAGTATCACCTCTGGAAGGATCTGAGATATGTGGATGTTTATTTCAGTCTCCACCTCTTTGAAAGAATTTGGTCCTGCTGCAGAGAAGAAAGCTGTTCATTACAAAAAGTTGCATTTTCATGGAACCACTAGCCACAGAGAATAACACAGCAAATGACTAAACCTCAGCTAATGACTAAACCTTGAGGACCCCCTTTGCAGTCCCTCCCAGGCAGTCAGGGCTGGGGCTGGGGCTGGGGCTGGGGCTGGAGCGAGGTATGTCCCTGCTCCCTTTCCTGATGGGCCTGGTATAGACCTGGGGGAAGCAGGTGTAGATCTGCCATGTCTGGCGATGGGCAGAATCTTCTTGATTATGAATTTGGAGTGTTTTTCTGTAGGTACCTTCATTTTGAAAATAACTAGCAGCTAGCCCATGCTCTTGGGGTCTGGCGGACACCCCTGTTGCATGTCCCCTCTGGGGTCCTCTTCATACCCACATTGTTAGAGCCTTCCCTGGCAAGAAAGTGGGCAACAAAAACAAATCCAGAGCCAGTGGAGCTCTGCCTGCCTCTGCCTCCTGATTGGTGGGATTAAAGACATGTGCCACCAAACCCAGCTTGATCGTTTTCTTCCATGTGGTGTGTTAGTGGGAATTCCACACTTCTGTCCTATTTTATGTCAAGAAAGGAGTGCTAAGAAGGGCTGCAGTCCTGAGATAGAAGGAGGTGACTGGTGATTGTCCTGTTCTAGGTCATGATGGAATTGGGAGGACCAAGGCTGGTAGAAGTAGGCATCAGCAGGTGTTGTACCTGGAAGTTTAATGGGAATTGGAGGAACAAGGGATAGTCTCAGGGAGGAGACCCAGACTTCTGGCTTTCTCAAGACAGCGCCTTGGTGTCTTAGCCTTAGCCCGGCATGTGTGAGCACAGAGCCAGGCACTGATATGCTGGCCACACAAACAGGTTGGACACAGATTGTTGGAAGGAGGCCAGACAGGCCAAGCAACGTCTGCTCACCCCTGGGAAGCATTTGTTGAAGCAGATGTACCAAGTGGGTGCCAGGATAGCAGCATTTAATGAGAAAAGCAAGGGCCATCCCCTGTTGTGGCGCCCCTGTTCTTTTCCAGAGGCACCTGGGGCCCTGTGGGAGATGGGGTCAAAACACACCTGCGCTTCCTCAGGTATTTCCTTGGCCTGTCATCTATTCAATAAGTTGTGATTATTTATTGACCTGCTCTGTGCAACATGTTAGCCACTTGTTTATAAATTGGTCTCCTTGCCCACAAAGAGCTTCTTAGAGCAGCTGGTAGAAAGGCAAGGTACGATCAACAACAGCCACTGCATGTTGGCCGCTCATCACCACTCTGCCAGATACTGTGGGAGTATTTTTACTGTATCTATATCCTATCACTCCTACAGTGTCCCTAAGGATGACATTGTCCCCCCAACCTCCAACTCCCATTTTAGAGATGGGGCGGTGGAGGCTCTGAGCACATGATTTGACCAGCGAATAACACCTCTGGCAACCAGATCAGGTGTGCTGTTAAATCTACCCCCATACCATGCCAGGACTGGTGTGGTTTAGCAAGGGGGCTGGGAGGGCTTTACATAGAAGGTGGCCTTTGAAGAGGGAGGGTCTCTGGGTGCAGGGGCCAAAGCTCTGAATGTGATTGGGGGTTTGTCACTGACCTCTGCCTTCTGTCTCCACAGAGTGCAGCAGCTGCCCCAAGCCCTGTGCTTGGCAACATTCCCCCCAATGACGGGATGCCTGGAGGCCCCATCCCGCCTGGTTTCTTTCAGGTATGTGCTGGCTTGGAGGCCTGTGCACCTCTCAAACTAAGCTGGGTGGGCGGGAAGAGGGAAGGAAAGCAGCTCAGCTCAGTTTTCCATGATCTAAATACAGTTGCTTTGTGCTGGTCGAGGCCCTGCCCTCCCATCACTTCCTCTACCTCTGCCAAAAGCTGAGGAGGAGAGATGGAAAGGCAGACACCTCCCGGGTGGCTGTGGCAGTGCCCTCTGCCACCCTGAAGTTTGGGTTAGTGCTCTTAGGCCAGTGTGGGGCTTTTTATTAAAAAAAAAAAAAAAATAGAAATGAGTAAACTGTTCTTTGTTTCTGTTTGGTTGCTGCTGTCATTGTCATTGTTTACTTTTCCTGTCCAAACTACAAACCTTAGGCGTAATCTAGAAAAACAAAAAACCCACCATCCTGGCAGGTCTTAGCATCCTTTCCCTCTGGTTAACCACTGATTTTTTCCGAGTGTGATCACAGGCAGCGCTCCACAGCATCTGTGCCCACACTCTGCCCACCACAGGCAGGAACTGATCCCACATGGGGCAGGAGCCTTGCCTCTTCCACAGCACACCTTGTTGGGCTTTTTGGCTGGGGTGGGAGTGTATGGGGTGTGAACTCGCTTTTCTGTTTTGTTAGTGTTGGGTGTGGCCACCATCCCCTCCTGCCTCCTCCTCCTCTTCCATCCCTCCCTTCCCTCCTGGTTCTCACTCCACTTCAGCCAAATTGGGACTGGGAAGTGCCTTGCAGTGCTATCATTCTGTAGGCTGAGTTTTCATGGTGGAGCTTTTGATTGTAACATTGCTCATTCCTTAAAGCCTGCCCTTGCTAAGTTTGAGAAAGTGCCTGATTCTCCTTGCCTTCTGAAGGGTGGCACTCCCAGACAAGGACATGGGGAGAGCTGTTGTGGGAAGCCCAGGAATTCAGAACTGTGTCAGGTAGGCTCGTATTCAGTGTAAGATAGGGGGCCTTGAAGGCATCAGAACAAAGATAGAAGTGTCCTTAGGGACATTAGAGGACTCCTCTTCCCTTGGGAGATGACCTGGAAGACTTCACTTTAGTTGCTGTTAAGTCTCGGAGGAGAAGGGTTAGGACACGTTACTCACCAATGAAAAGGAAGGGCGTCAGTGAGATTTGCTTGCTCCTGGTAAAGTGGAAGCAGCAGGCTACTCATCACATTGGCAGCGGAGCCAGGCATTGCTGGCAGTGGTGGCCCCTGCCTTTAATCTTAACACTTGGAGGCAGAGGCAAGTGAATCTCTGAGTTCAAGGCCAGCTTGGTCTACATAGCAAGTTCCAGGCCAGCCAGGACTACACAGTGAGACCCTGTCTCAAAAGAGCAAAAACAGATTGGCAGTGAGAGAAAAGAAAAGGATGCAGGGATAGCTGTTCAGAACACTAGGTAGCCATGTGTGTATCCTTGTGCGTTCCTAGCATGCACGTAGCGCAATAACCTTCTTCAAGGAGTGGAGACAGGAGCGGTTTCAGAAGTCCTGGGGTGTGAGGCTCTAATTCAGACCAGATCAGGCATTGCTAGGAGTCCTGTTTTGAGGTAAACCTACAGACATAAAGAAGAGAGGCTGGGGGCAACACCCAAGGAAGTAATGTTTGGGGGGTTCATCCACATCAAGGACAGTCTGTACCCACCTGGTGGCCTTCTCGCCTGTTGTTCTGCTTAGTGGGAGTTTTTTCTTTCTTCGGCTCACATGTCCTTGCTGATGGCACCACAGATGCCCTGAGGCATTACATATGTGGCTTTCCTCCCTGGAGGCCACCCATGTGTCTCTTTTCTGAGGCTACTTGCCTGCCTCCAGGTACCCATTGCAGGCCACTGTGGTGAGAAGTGGAAAGTAGCCAATTGTGTTTTTTAAAATAGGCCATTGGCTTCTATTTTAGCCTGAGTCTAGGACAAGGAACAGGTCTGCTGATAATGTGGGCAGCTCCCAGCTTCCTGCTTTGGTATAATCTTCCATGGTTAGGGTCTAATTCCAGGCATACTTCATGGGCCCTCCCCTATGACGTTTGGGGTGTGTGGTCAGAAAGCCCAGGCTGATTCCTGTCCTTATTTAGCCACTACTAGCCACTGTCAAACGGGTAACTTTTGGACTCTTTGACTTGAGGCCACCTCTGTTCCCCAGGCAAGGTGCACTGTCAAGGGCTGGTTAGGTCCTTCAGGAGGGTTTTGGTACCCTAGCGCCTCTGCTTCCTGGGTGGCTCTGAGTGATTCATGTCTCTTGTTTCCTAGCAACATTTCCCCATATGTCAGATGAAGGAGTGAGGGGAAGGCCAGGCACTCAGCATGGTCCTTGCTGACTGTGATGTTGCCACTTGGCCTGGGTCCCTGCAAGGAGAAAGGGTATCTCTCTGGAAAGGAGGTAGTGGCAGTGCATTTCCGGAGCAGGTCAGTGCTCGACAGGAATATTAGCAATTGATGGCCACCCTGCCCTTGCTTGTCTTCAGGCAGCCACTCTGATATTAGAAGGGAAATAGAGATGGTATCTAGAGTTTTATCTTCTGCCAACAATTGTGCTTCTTCCCCTCTTGGCTACAGCTTGGGTAGGTGGCTCTGCCACAGGAGAGCTATATGCTGAGTAGCTGGCTTGGGTGGCCAGGCTAGCTTTGTCTAGCCCCTGTCCTGCAGTGGCCTGTACCTTTTCAAGTCAGGACCACAGCACTAGTTGGTCCTGAATTTAGAAGCCAGTGGGGCCTCCATGATGATCAGAAGGGAGCAGCTCTCCCCATCAAGGCCCCCCCAGAAAGCAGCACATAGGACTTCCTTCCTCAGGCTTCTGTCTGCTAGGCCTGGAGGGCCACTCCTGGAGTTCAAAGGTTGGGCCAACCACACAGGAGACTATTTACTTTTTCTTCTTTGGCTCTGGATTTCTGAGATGGGCAGTGCTTCCTAGTCCTGTGGAGTGATGTGTTGAATCTAGTCACAAGGTAAGGGATGGCAGGGAGGTTATTTGTGTATTGACCTGTGCACACTTCATGGTTGGGATACTGTGGGATTCTTGGGGTCTTGGCAGAATTTAGCAAGGACATTCATATTCTCTGTTCCTTATTCACAAGGAAAAAGCCCTAATCTTGACATCTGTAGCACTTGGCATGTATCAGGGACACATTACATGTTTGAACTCTGTTTGTTTGTGGTATTCATGCTATTAAACAGAAGCCTAGCCAGCCCCGAAGTGCTAGACCGGATGTTCTGACCAGGCAGGTTCTAACTGGAAGCTGGCTTGGGCATACAGGACTGGTATCTGGAGTGTCTAGAGAAGGACACAGAAGACTTGGCCATGCACTTGCTGAGTGACCTTGGGTCAGTGCTTTTCATTACTGGGCCCAAGTTTTTCTCACCAATAGATGAAGCAGATTAGACTAAATTTGATTTTCTGCGTTGAATCCAGACAGATTTTACATAATCAAGCAGTGGCGTTTTGACCCCCTTGCAACTTAACTCAGGCTACACATGTGGCAAACCCAGCTTGGCCTTAGCCAGGCCCACTGGTCTGGCTGCGTCCCTTAGTTCTTGGCCCTAAGGGGAGACCATCCAGTAAGGATTTCTAGGTCTAGGACTGAGCAATCACAGGAGAACAGAGGTTATAGAGAGCAGAGCGTTGGGTACAGACTGTTTTTGTTCTTGTTTTGTTTTTAAATTCCAATAATTGTTTCCAGTTGTGTTTTTAAGCATGAGACTTACTTTCATTTTGGTCAGGATTTCTGTAGGGAAGCAGAGCTGAGACAGAGAAACTCACAAAGGTGAAGGATTGCCCCAAATTGTCCACTGAGGTTTAATCAGTCTGACTTCAGACTTCTCGCTCCCCATCTACTATGCTTCCACTGTCCACTGAAGTCCAAGGGGAGGTGTCTGTCTAGTTGTCTAGAGAGGAAGGAAAGACTATGGCTTTCTTCTCCCACAAGTAGCAAAAAGTTTCCATTCAAAGGCCAGCTTGGGTTGCTTAGCATTGGGTGGGGTCCAATTCTGAAGCCATGTTGAGGTTCCATAAGTACCAGCTAGTAAGTAGCGTCTGTTCTACATCAGAGAGGGCTTGTGAGGAGACGGTGCACATCTAGTATGCGAATCATTCTTGGTGATTCGTAGATGTGGGCATGGAATCCCAGAGGGAAAAGAAATCTGGTGCCACAGGAACTCCGCAGAGGTCATGGATAAAATGCATGTCTTCCCAGGAAAAGAGAGTCCTGGGTAGCAAAGGGGTCTAGCTCCTTTGTCAAAACCTTAGCTGGTGGAGATAGAATGACTGACCTCGTCCTCCTCCCCTATTCCAGTGAGGCCTCCTTCCTGCCTCATTCCTCATTTCCTGCCAAGCCCACTGCCCTGGAAATTGGCTGATCTCTGCCCCAGAGGACTTACCCCCCGACCCCCCAATCCCTGTGACAGGTGCAAGGACAAGAGCACAAGGAACAAATGCTACACACAGCCCAGAAAAGAAGAGAAATAATCAACAGATAGAAGGACAAGATACACAACCCTAACCCTTGCCTCCTGAGACCCCAGCATGACTCTTCACTTATCTCCTGCAGATCTAGCTGGGGTTTCCCCAAGAGAGACACAGCCTCAAGAGGATTCTGATGACTGTTGACATCCTGCCAAGTAGCAGAAACAATCTTGCCTTGTGAGGCTCTAGCCTCAGATCCCAGGTCCTTGAGAGAAAGGAAGTTTGAAGCTTTGGAGAAGAAACAGTCTGTCATCTGCCCTTTTTTTTTGTCTTTTTGAGACAGGGTCTCCCTGTAGCCCAAGCTGACCTGGAACTCACTATGTAGATCAGGCTGGCCTCGAACTCACAAAGATCCGCCTGCCTTTGCCTCCCAAGTGCTGGGATTAAAGGTGCGCGCCACAATGCCCAGCTCCATCTCACCCATTTTACGATGAAGTAGGAAGCTGCTTGGTAGTGGTAGTAGCCGAACAAGGACAGGATGCCAGTAGAGAACCTTGAGGGCTCTGAAGGTTGGGGTGGGTGGTATATTTCCAGGGAGATCAAAACCCAGTAAACAAA